ATGAGAACAGGTTGGATAAGATCAGATGTTCTGAGGAGGCAAAAGGAAATGATGCAATCTAGTCTCCCAAAGGCTTGCTGAAAACGTGGTATAGGACAAAAGCAGTGCAGCCTGTAAGCAGTCATCTGTGAGGGGAACAGAGTATTTTCAAGTGTTTTGGGAAGCCAGACTGGTGGAGTATTTCTGAAAGAGTGCATTTTCTCTATTGTATAAATAATTTAGCAGTGCTGGTGTTTTGCCTTTAGGCAACAGTATTCCCATAAAGTAGTCATCAGTAATACAAGTGGATATGAGGAAATAAGAAACCTGTTGGGTCAGAGGATGTAAAGTCACACAGAAGAGGAACAGTTCTTTAGAGCTTTTGTGCAGAGATAAAAGTCTCCTACAGGAGGCCTTCAGTCTCCTGAACCAGCTTCTTGACATAGCAGAAGACAGGCAAAGTTTTACTGTTCAGGAATGGGAGCCTTTTGGCTTTGTTAAAAATCTGTGTTACCCCTATGCAGTGTAACCCCATTTGACTGCTTCCTACCCCAGGTCTTCCAGCAGGGGTGGATGTCTACAAAGTCTGTAGAGAGACAATATTTGTAGTGGTGAAGCTCTGTATCTGCAAGACTGGCTAAAATGGGCCAAAATTAAAATGAAACAATTATCCTGTAATTTTGATTTGTAATTTCTTTTTCAAACAGAGAGGTAAATCCTGGTATAATCTTCATCCTTTGTGAGACTTTTGCTTCTTTACCATGCAGCACTTGACTCTGGCACTCTTGTGAGAGGCAGGGGAGGACCAGCCTGCCTGGCAGCCCTCCCCAGTCTGCCTTCCCCCTTGCAAGTCTCCTGCACTCAATCATTAGATCTGTAAGGAGGAAGGGGAGCACAACTCCTTTGATGATCTTGATCTAAATAGCAAGTTGTCATCTGAAGTAAAAGAGAGAGACTGTAGTGGATGAAAGGGAAGCAATATGCTGATTTTCTGGTCTAGCAGTGCTGTTATTCTGCCTGTGTCCCAAGCCCATACACAAATAATTGGGAATTTGCTGTCTTAATGGTTGTTAGGTTTTTTTATTGTACCTCCGTGGCTGTGTGGGTGAATGTAAAAAGGGTTTTGTACATGTATATTTGTATATTTGGTAGACTCTGCACAGCTAAAGCCTCTTTCAATTTTCTCTCTAATTTATTTTTAATTTTGTAACCCCCCAGGGGTAAATCCTTATTACAAGATGTAAAACCACCTCTTCTACAAAGCAGCTTATTTGTTGATTTTTAATTCAAGTCAGCAGATGCAAAGCTGTAGCTTTTTTGTGAACACTCAGAGCTCCTCTGTATATATAACTGTCAAGTGCATCTCACTGCAAAATTAGTAAAAAAATTAAAATATCATTCTAGAAAGAGCAAGAAGAATTTTTTATTTCTCTGTATTAAGACTATGCTAGACTTCTGAATCTTGAAACATTCTTGATAGGCAACTCACTTTTAAATATACATTACATTTGGATTAGACTGAGTATGAAGACTTCCATTTTCGGAAGCTCAAGTACTGAAAGAAGTTGGGGGTTTGTTTTTTGAAGAAGGACCTCCATCAAAAGAAGGCTGTCTAAAGACAGCTTTACTGTGTGCACTTACATAAATGAATGTTCACTGGCATCAATATGTGCTTTGTCTTATGGGAAATGTTGCCCTTAAGCTAACCTGCATACTTTATGGTTTAATATTTGTTTATATAAGTGGCTGAAAGTCTTAGTCACAGATCTATGGCAATAATAACAAAAAGACATGATCTGAAAAAATTTCTCTTCTTACTGTATCTCATTCTAATCAAATGACATTAAAAAAGCTGAAAAAAACTCTTTTAAGTGCTTTACCAGTTGGTTCAGGTGTAGGCATCTACATTTGGTCCTTCTGTTCTACTAGGCTTACAACTCAAAATACATGAATAATTAGTTTGCTTTGAGTTGTCATCGAGGGAAATAAATTAAAAAAAAAAACCCTCAGACTGTCTCTTTTTCCTTTGTTTTTAATAAAGTGTGATGATTTTGTTCCCATCATTGTTTTTACACAAAGGCAATGTTAATTTCTATTCATGATGTGAACCTTAGAATAAAGTTCTTGATTCTTTCTGCTTCTCCTTTTAGTCTTCACAAATCAACCACAATTCACAATTCACACCACTTATCTTCTAAACTACCATTTCCATTCTCTTTGTTGTCTGAATTCACTGAGGATGCCATCTGTGACTGCTGTTCAGAGGTCCTGTCCTGCTGGCAGTGCCACACCTTCTCCAGGTTATCTTCCAGTGTTGCCTTTTATCAGGTGTTTTTTGCTAAACTGGGACATTTGAGTGTGGTGACTTCATTCCAGCCACCCATCAAAAACAGGACTCCACTGCCTCTGCCTTGATTTGTCCATAGCATTGGACAGTCACTGCAGATGATCATCTTCCTTCTGCCTATCTCCCCAAAGGGTCTCTCACTTTGGAGGTGATTCCTGAGCTTTTTGCTCTGCCCAGCATTCTCAGCAGAAACTTTTGCAATTTTGAATATCACAGAGGTGTATATCAAAGATAACCTACCATATATCAAGTACTTTTCTTACTTTCATCATGAGCAAGGAAAAAAATCAAGAAAGCAAAAAGAGAGAACTGTGTGCACCAATTTGAATTGTAGGTTTAATTCCCATCGCTGGAAACTCTAACTTTACCCATCAGCCAGAAGTCATGGCCATACATTTATTTTTAAAGCTAACTTAGTTGGCCACGTGTGAGCAATACAGTGATCTGTGGCTGGAAGTTGAAAAAAGCACTGCCCACAGTCCTGGCTCAGGCAACCTATTGCCAGCGCAGTTCTTCAGCCTACTGCTTCTTTCTGCTTTTGTAGGTGCCATCAAGGTCCTATTGTAACAAAAACAGATTTTGCTTTTGGATTTCCACTGATGGAAAAGACTATGGTTTTGTGTCTTCAGGTTTTTTAGCTTTATCTTTACAATTAAAATGAAAAATCACTCTGCAATGTTAACGGCATCTTTCCAGCGCATTGTTGATTTCCAGCTGATGTTTTAAAGGCATTGTCTGGGCAGCAAAAAAACTTGAGGTACAGTTTCAATATCTGTAAAGGATTTACCTGTGTGGTTTACACTGATTTCAGTAGAAATTAGGACATCTAATCTTAAATTCCCTTTTAAAAACATCTCCCTAAATATATTTAGAAAGTAATGGAAATAAATCTGTGTGCTCAAATCATCATAAAAGTACATAGATGTAGTCATAATTATGTCTGAAGGATGGGATTGAGTAGGCGTAAAAATTATGTATGGTATGATTGAATGTACTTATTCTTTATTCATTGTCTTAAGTATTACTCTACTCACCACATTGTTTCTGGTTTTTTTCTGCTGCTTACTGAGAGAGAAAGAAGAGAAGGATGGGAGGCAAGGAAGGAGAGGAGAGAGGAAGGAAAGGGAAAGAAGACTTTTAGCATATATGTCGAGGCTTCGAGGGTTTTGCAGTCAGTGTCATTATCACTGTAACAAATAATTAGGCTATTGCCTAATAATATCCCACTGGAAGAGTGCATGTGCAAGCACCTGTTAATGAGCAAACATTAAATGATTCAGGTGCTTTGTTCAGGTAAATACCCATTCAAGTCACTCATCAGAGCCAAGCTTTAAAAGCTATGCTTTTTGAATTAACTTTTGAAATAATTGTCTGCTTTTCTGTGGTTGAGTCTCATAAGATCTGAGATACCTGTGCTATAGAGAGCCTGCTGTTTCTGCCATGGTATAGCAGCCTATATACCACTGGGTCCATTTGAACCAGAGAGTGAACACACTTGTCATGAAGGAAAATTATGAAGGAGAATTGGGAGCAAGTTTTGGTGGCAGTGGACAACAATGATCCTTTTCTTCTGTGTTTTCCATCACCCATTTTTATGATCACAGGCACTTAGAAAAGCTACAGTAATGTGAAAAAAATCTCAGAATAGTGGGGTTTGCTTTGAAAGTTTCAAGACAATTCAAATACCATTTATAGTACCTTGGCAGTACAAGTAAACCCTACTTAGATTCCTTTTTAGGCTACACACTCTGAAAGACCTCCAGTCGTACAGAGTTCAGTCACAGTTTGCCTCTTTCACAGCAGAGTCTCATCATGTGTGGAACTTACTGTAATGCAAATAAGTTATAGGTTTGCCCACCCTCATTAATGAGCTGTTTGCTTTTGAATGGAGAACAATAATGATCCCTAGCCTACCACGAGGAATGCTTTGACCTTTTGAAAGTTGTGGGTTTGATCTGCAGGCTGTATTGTAGCGTCAGTTTTCAAGTGGTGAAGATTACACACTGGGTGATTGACAGGGTTACCATAAAAGGCAGCAAACCTGCCTACTTCAGAAAAAAGATTCTGGGAGCAGAGCAACTGTCACCCAAAACAGGTCTCAGCGCAACCTTTCTCTAAACAAGTCTGATATTTTGAACCTCTAGGATCAGAGTAACCATCCTTGGAACTGATCTGTCATATACCCAAATGTGATGCTGTTACTTTCCTGCTCTAGTATTCCGTCATATTTAAAGATACTGATAATCTTGCACCCTGGCAAAAACCTGTTCCATCATATGTGCAACATTTCATCAGTGTGTATGGAAAGCATAAATATATAAACTGCTCTATTCTTCAGCTCTTTATATGTGCACGTATATGCGTATATATAAAATTAAAGGTAAGAACACATGCCTGGTCTGCTCAAGCTGCACTTGTTTTTCTTGCTGGTGTTTACATCTTAAGTGGAGTGTCAGTCTGACCCTTACATATTACTTTGCCAGGTTGGCTCTTTCAATATCTGCTAGACAAATAGGGTGTGTTTGTTTTCACTTCCTTGCAGTACCTTGTAGTAAATGGTGGCTTTCAACTGCTTAGTGCAAATGTGAGAGATCTAGATAATTTTTCTGAACGGGTAAGTATTTGGGGTATGTGCACCCAACTCTTACATAATTGTTCTTGTTTACTACCACAGGAGAAGAAAACTTGCTGGCAATTTTGAAGAGGAGATGGTGGAAGTACATGATCCTGGGGATAATAGATATAGAAGCCAACTACCTGGTAGTCAAAGCTTATCAATACACGACTCTTACCAGTGTACAGGTAAGGATATCCTCTTTTGAGGTAAGATAATAGGTAAGATAATAGGTCCAATGGTGTCAGTGGTGTAGTATCCATTGTCTTCAGTGAACCAATAGCTAATTGCTGCCTCTGACTTCTGGGTACCTTTAATGCTCACTCGTAAGACACATTTTTTCATATTGGATTATTTTTGTTACTCAACAGTTTCCAAAGTGTACAAAAACATTCTTTCATTTTATTCCTCTGTGCTAAACCATTCAGAATCACATTTTTGTCATTATCTAAATAATTAAGTCCTTTGAGAAATATTTTCAGATTGGCTGAAATGTTTTTCTCACTTTGTATTGTACTTGGAGAGAACACAAGTACTTCTTTTAGGATTCCTCAATTAGATCTGATTTTCTGAAGGTCTCTGTGGTGGGTTGACCCTGTCTGGACATGAGGTGTCCACCAAAGCCACTCTTACTCTCTTCCACAGCTAGACTAGGGGAGAGGGAATATAAGGGAAGGCTTGTGGGTCAAGATAAGGACAGATCACTCGCCAGTTACCCACAAGCAAAACAGACTCAATTTGGGCAAATTAGTTTAGTTTATTACTAGTCAAGTCACTAGCATTCTTCCCCTTCTCCAGTGTGGGATCCCTCCCACAGGAGACACTTCTCCACCATCTTCTCCAATGTAAGTCCTTTCTACAGGCTGCAGTTCTTCACAAGCTGTCCCAGCACGGGTGTCTTTCACAGGGTGCGGCCCTTCAGGAACAGGCAGCTTCAGAGTGGGCCCCCTCCAGGCTTACAAGTCCTGCCAGCAAACCTGCTGCAGCATGCGATTCTTTTCCCATGGATCCACAGGTCCTGCCAGGACCCTGCTCCAACACCAGCTGTCCATGGGATCACAACCTCCTTTGGGCAGTGACCTGCTCCAGCATGGGGTTCTGCACAGCCTGTAGGTGAATGTCTGCTCCGCTGTGAACCTCCATGGGCTGCAGAGGGGCATTCCATCTCATCATGGTCTGCACCAAGGCCTGCAGGGGAATATCTGCTCTGGCATCTGGAGCACCTCCTCCCTTTCCTTCTGCATGGCTCTTGCTGTCTGCAGAGTTGCTACTCTCACATGTTCTCACTCCTCTCTCCAGCTGCAGTTTCTGTTGCACAGGGTTGGTTTTTTTTCTTCCTGCTTAACTGTGTTCTCCCAGAGGTGCTACCACTGTCATTGATGGGCTCAGCCTTGGCCAGCAGCAGGTCCATCTTGGAGACAGCTGGCATTGGCTCTGCCAACTTCCAGCTGCTGCTCACCCCTGTAGCCCTCCACTGCTGTCACAGCAAGCAAACCAAAGAGAGGATGTTTAGGATCCCATAATTAGATCAGAGTGCAAAAGTTGTCATTAAGCAAAATGAATGCAGTTTGTATGAAGAAGTCCTACTTCAGTGCAAGCTGTTAGATGTGTTATATAACACCTTAACTGCAGCTATCCCTGCTAAAAAATTATATGTGCAGTGGACAAATTTAGGGTACCAATTTCAAAGAAATTGATATTTTATATTTAAAAATCTGGATATTTTATATTTAAAAATGCAAAAGAATTAGGCTTCTTCCAATTTAAGTGCAAAAGTGAATAATAGAAACATTTTTAAGATACTGGAAATTGTCTGTCTTGGGAAATCAAGACTGCTACTTGTTCGAAAACAAGCTTAGTGCCTCTTTACATTATTTCTAAATAACTGAGCAACACTAGGTAGTGCTCAATGTATTTTACATGTTACTTGCCTGAAGTTTGCTTTAGAGCTAATAAAATGAGTACCAGTTAATATTTTGCAGGATCAAAGCTAATTAAGAGTATATTTCTTCCATAGATGAAAAGCAGTGTTGGAAAATCCTGAGCTTCTTTAGCTAAATAAGAAGCAAAAATAGAAGAAAACTGTGAATTCAAGGAATTTGAATGTGAGGTTTATGCTAAATGTTCACAAGTGCCTCTGGCATCAGAATCCGGGTTTGAGGATACTTTGAATCATGCCCAGACAGTGTAATATTGTTTTTAACACTTTTCCAAATCTGATTACTTAGTATAGAATAAAGCTTAAATCCACATAAACCACATAAATATTCTCCGATTTTACAGCCACTAAAAGCCTCGAAGAGAAAAGCAAACTGAATTGCTTCCTTTGTGTGATTCACTCACAGCAAGTATAAATAGTGGACTGAGCAGGATGATTTGGGTCATTAAATCCCATCTCCCAAAGCCACCAATAAGCACGTACTGAAGGCTCATTTGGCCAGACCTGTGAACCCCCACTTCCAGAAGATGCAGATCCTTGAGCCAGCAGTGCAATGAGCATGGCCTTTAATGTATTCTGTCAAGAGATCAAAAGTTACAGTGTGATAGGGAAACAGGCAGGAGAGTTCAAGGGCATTGCCTGTGCCTTGATAGGGAATTTGTTAGCTGAAATCATCCATGGTCTCCTTTTAAACTGAGAGAGAGAGAGAGAGGAGTGGTAGATCAGGAGAACTGTCAGAGGGCACAGACAATGTCATGTCCATTTTTAGACCTCTTCCACATCAAAATTACAACAGAGCTCAGGTTTCTTTCCCATGTAGCTTGAAAGAAGGAACAGGTAAGAACTCAAATGCTGTCGAGCTTTTTTCCAGGCATGGAGTGAATACAGGGTCACCTTTTCCCATAGTTGTCCTTGTTTGCTGGGATACATGTGGAGTGACTGGGAATACCTGCTGCATTTTAAATTCATTTCATGCCCTAATATGAATGAGCTTCTAAGTAAAAAGCCCAAAGAGACAATGAGAATGGGACAAGTATGAGGTAATACATTAAGATGTTGAATCAAATTACACATTTTCTGAAATGTAGCCAAACACCCTATTTCATTTAAAGATGGAACAGAAGCAGCTCAGGGAATTATTTAGCATTGGTCTAAGTGTGTCATGGTATGAAATGAAGACTGAAAAAGTGGAAAATAGAAGATGAAGAAAAGAAACCTCTTCCTATAATCTGATTTTTGAAGAAGCAAACAAGACTCAAGAGAAAGGAAGTCTCTGTCCTGAAAGGCCTGATCCTGCCGGAACTCTACCTGTGAGACCATAAATGCTTACTGGCATATAGCAAAAAAATGTTCATATCCTTTCAGAACTGAGACCCAAGAAGCTATTGCTACCTGCCACAAATCAGCATGGCTTTGACTGAAGGCTGTGGGATCTATACCTATGTATATGTTGGGCTGAGAATTGAGCCCTTCAAGTCAATTCTGGGGGATTTTATACTCAACAGGCTCATCAAGGCTTTTTTTGATGAAGAAAATGTAAGAATTTTTGAAATTGTAACTTGAGTAAATGAGAGGTTTTGCAGTATTTTTATCGTGGTGGTACATGGACCATTTCAGCAGGAAAACAGTTTTACAGCATATCCTTTTTTCCACATGACATCTCTGCTCCATCATGCAAAACTAACATGCAAGTGTACAGTGCTTGTGGTGCTTTTAGGCAAAAAAACATTACACTTGTCCCAGCAGAAAGCCAAAGCTTAACAGTAAAAATACATCTTTATTGCAAATGGCTTGATTTCAGCTTCAACAAAAAACTCTTAGCATTCAAAAGCTTTGTTTTCAAATTAGCTTTAAACTCTTGGGACTGTCAAAGTTTCTAGTTTTTACTCCGTCCTTTTGTTTTTTAATATTTGGTATTATTTCATCATGGTTCCATGAAAAGACTGAAAATGGTGCCCTACTTTTGCTCAGTGTTTCACACGCAAATTTTCTTATATTTTAAAATTCTCTTTTGGCTTTGATCTGGGAAAACAGGATTTTCTAATAAACCTTCCTACATATCTTTCTCCAAACGCCTTCAGAATCATAGTGATTGAGAACACGTAGGCACAAATCAGAAATGAATGTGGTACCTAACCTTTACTTTTGGACATGCTTCTGATTATTTCAAATCCTCATGTACTCTATAATTACTATCTGAGAATGTGGCAGTCAGTTTTATCACAAGATGAAAGCAAAGTACTGTGAAGCCTAGAAACACATAATTTTCCTCTTTAAAGAAGACCCTACAAACAAGTAAAATACCTCCCTTACAAATCAGGTGACATTGAATTTAGATTGAAAATCAATGCAATATTTATATTTCAGTCATCAAGGTGTAGGTCATTTGCTAAGGATAAAATACAAGTTCCCCCTTTTAGGCACCAGCAGTGCAATCCAAAGACAACTCAGTTCAATGGAACAATGCAAGAAACTCACATCTAATTGTCTACAAATATGACATCTACTGTTCCTTCTCTTGCTGCTCAGAGCACGATCTGGGGCATGAAAACATGTTTGAACCTATTATGTTGCATCTTCTTTGGTAACTTTAAGCTCTGGTTCTTTGCATGCCCAGAGTGATTCTGTATTGATGCAGATAGATGCCTAAATACCTGCCTCCAAAAAACTCAAAAGCTAAGTATTCCTACATCACAGTACTCCAAGGAACTCAATTTGTTAGATATGATCTTAGCACTCCTCAAGTGCTTGCAGAAAGTCTGGAGTGCTTTCCAAATTGTAAGTATGGAGACACCTTTTTCATAAAGTCATAGCTTTTGAAGCAGTGGCCCACAGAAAGGGCTTGACTTAACTCCATCTTGGCTGAGGGGATGGCAACTCAAGCTCCCTGTGGCCGTGAAAGTGCTCAGGCTAGTACATGAAAACTGTTCCCTAGAGGGTACTCTTAAAAAACTGAGTATAAACAAGTTAAAAAGCACAGGAGTTTGTAAGTGGATCAGTTTGATATCCAAACCCACCTATCTCAAGAAGTAACGGAGATCAGTCATGCTTAATGTTATCAGACATATGTATATTGATTCCCAGATGGCCCAAACTTGTGAAATGTTCTTTAGTTTCTGTTGCATTACTCAGACTTGCAGTGCATTTTGCAGCCTTCTTGCATGTCAGCTGTACCAGATACAGAACATACACTACGCACTCCCTTGTACACTAGCACCTGGTCCCATGGACTTGTTTTAAAAGGTATGT